GTCACAGAGGTGTGCGTAATCTTCGCTCAGGCGTCTAATGCCGAGCTCCGTGCTATTAGCCAGACTTTCGAGTCACGCTACCATATCCCCCTCGAGAAGCATATCAAGGATGAATTCTCGGGTCACATGGAAGATGCACTGCTCCTGATGCTCCGCTCGGCTACGGATCCTGCCATGCGTGATGCTATCCTACTCGAGGATTGCATGAGCGGTATGGGCACCAAGGACGATCGCCTTGTTGTCCGTGCTGTCCGAGTCCACTGGGATCGCAATCATAAGGAAAGGGTTAAGCGCGCTTATCAACACAAGTACGGGAAGAACTTGATTGACCGGGTGCGCGGCGAGACTTCTGGTGATTACCAGCGGTTGATGGTTGCTCTTCTCGAGTAGACGGCCTTTTTTCTTTTTTCCTTTCCTATTCTATCCCTGTACAAATCATGACATTTGAATGACTCTCTTTTGTTCCTGCTTGGTATCATTTACTTTGAGATACCATGATCCGAAATGAGGAATGTGAGATACGCAAGACAGATAGTGCTGAGTGCTGCAGTAAAAGAAACTAAAAAGATTGTTTCTTGATTTGAAACCCTTCGGGACCCAGTAATTGCAGTAGAAATTATTTTAATCGTATACGCTGCCTAGATATTTACAAGTTTCTAACCCTTCAGGCTATAAGTCAATAGCCCACTTCGTCCGCAACCTCTCCCCCCATGTTTGGAACAAAACTGGTATAGGCGCCATTGCCAAAGCAAGGAATGCCAACAAACTATTTCCCCACCCAAGGCCGAGTTTTTCATACATTTGCAATCCACACAGAGGAAGAAGAGCTCCAAGCAAGCTTCGCAGAACAGTGCAAGCAGCCACAGCACTGGCAGCATGTGTAAGGAAAGCGTCGACCAGATATGTCTGAACACAAATTAAGATAATGATCATTCCGAAGCCAGTAACCGCATTCCCGATCTCGGGAACGATCCAATGGACCACTTTATCTGTCGACCATCCATAGATGAAGAGACCTGCCGGGATGCCTAATGACCCAGGTATGGTGAGATACATAGGAAGTCGGTCCTCGGGGACAGGTGTCTCATTGCGCTCGAGTTTGATCTTGATCTTGCGATCACTCAATGTCCCCACGTACGCAAGACCAAGCAACATGCCCACTCCGCTTCCTAGGAATGAAAGACCGCTGCCGCTAGCAGAGAAATTATACTGACCCTCGAAGACAATCGTGAATGTTGTAAAAAGGATATAGAGGAAGCCGTAAAGAACAGCAATGTAGCTGGACATTAGGGCCACTATTGGGGACAGAACAAGCATTTTCGATGGTCGAATGAGACTCCGGACGAACAGCTGTTTTGGGGGGATTCCGGAATCCAAGCGAGATTTGTATGCCGCATCACCTGTTGACTTTCGCATCCGAGCAGCTTTCCGCTCAAGGAGAACTGGCGCATACGTCTCCGGCACGGTAAAATAGAAGACGGCTGATGCGGCTCCGCCCTAGAAAAATGAGTTAGAAACGAGACTATCTTTGATCTGAGATAGTCTTTCTTACCGCGATAGCAAGAACCCAAAACACCCATCGCCAATTTGTCGCCTCCACGAGGAACCCACCCACGACGGGGCCGATGATCGGACCGAATAGGGGTCCCAAAGACCAGATAGCCATCGCCTGACCTCGTTTCTCTCTCGGCACAAGATCTGCAATCGTACCACTACCACACGTGATGGCAGCAACGCCCGCAAACCCATCGAGAAATCGGAAAACAACCAAAGACGCCATGTTTGGAGCGAGCGCACTGGCGATATTGAATATCACGAACAACGCATTGCAAACATTGTAGACCCATGCGCGGCCGCTATACTCGCTGATGGGTGCGACAATAAGAGGGCCGAAGGCAAATCCTAGGATGTAAACCGAGACGACAAAAGACAAGAGGAGATTAGATGTTGAATCGAAGTCTTCGAGGACTTGTCTGATACCTGGCGCAAACATCGAAGAGGCCAGGGGACTAGTCTTGTCAGAAGCTTGGTCGACACTAAAAATATTTAAAAAATACTCACGTCAAGAAAGTGATGAAAGAAACCATCCCGATGATAGTCCATTTGTGCCCGGAGCTCCAGTTCATTGGATTCTCGGGGTCTTCACTAGTTGGCTCCTCCCAGAAGACATCATATTCGGACGACCTCGCGGCTTGTTCTTCGTTGACTTTCTCATCTGCCAGTCCAATGGACTGCACTTCAGGATCAGGCGATTTTGTGTCCATATTGAGAAGAGAAATCTACACACATGGCCCCTTGATGTGCGCCGGGCTTTTTGAACTTCAAGTCTGTCATATGCATGAAATGCATAAATCCCACGGGGTTCTCCATATCCGTGCAGAGGGTTCGTATTCGTATCTTTCGTGGCGCTCATTGGTGGACGTGTTGTATAAAATGGAGTAAGTTGGTTGATCGACATCCGGGTTCGGGTTCGGGTTCGTATGGGAACGTCATCCAACCCCTAAACAATCCCGCTAGGATCTTGAACCAATTAGAACCTCATCATTTTGAAGGTTTCAAGTTATACTATTGGACATGGCGATCGACATGAACAACCTCGGTCCGGATCAAGGCCTGCGCATATAAGACACCACACGTCGCATCAGACTGCCTCTCTGAAGTAATCTACCGCCAGCGAATATCGAGGCAGAATGGGGGTTATTTTCAACATGCAGCATGTGTTGGTAACAGGGCTTTTTACGGTACACCTCGCGACGCCTTCTGTGACTTCTTTTCTAACACGTTTAGGCGATATTATATCTTATCTCTAAAGTGATCTACAATGTGTACTTTCACCCCTTGAGCCGGTTTCCGGGGCCATTGGAACACAAAATATCACGACTGGCATATGTCTACCGGTCTATTCGGGGAACTCTTCCCTTTGACATGCTGGAAATGCATCGGCGATATGGCGACATTGTCCGTATTGCACCGGACGAGTTGGCCTTCTCCCACCCCGATGCATGGCAGGATATTATGGGCCATCAGAAAGGACAAGCTGAATTCTCAAAGGCAATCTGGTTCTACCGTCCGGTTGAAGATCAAGCGTCACATGTAGTCAACGAAAGCAGAGAACAACATGGGCGTCTCCGTCGACAAATGGCCCACGGCTTCTCTGAAAAGGCAATGCGAGAGCAGGAGCCAATGATTCGTGGTTATGTTGATATATTGCTGGACCGATTACATGAGTTTTGCAAGTCTGGCAATTCCGTAGTTCTTTCCGATTGGTATAACTATACCACTTTTGATATTATTGGAGACCTGGCGTTTGGTGAGCCATTTGGCTGTCTGCAGGGATCAAATCTTGATGGATGGATCAAGGGGATTTTCGATGCCGGCCGGCTTGGCATTATATTGCAAGCGCTTTCATTCTACCCACTCGTGAAGCGGGCCCTATTATCATTGGTACCTGCGTCAATGAAAGAGACACACGAGAAACATAAGAAACTCACCGAAGAGAAGATGATGCGTCGTATGGAAAAGGAAGCGGGTCGACCCGACTTGATTGAGGGACTTCTAAGGAAGAGGCAGGAACTGGTGAGTTTTCAACTATTCTTGGCCGAGAATAACGACTGATCGTTGTCAGAATTTGAGTATTGATGAACTCATTGCAAATGCTGAAATTCTCATCATTGGTGGCTCCGAAACCACAGCCTCATTATTGAGTGGAGCCACATACCTCCTCCTCACGAACTCAACTGCCTACGAGAAGCTGAAAGAGGAAGTCCGTACTGTGTTTCAAAGCCAGGATGAGATCAATCTGATCTCTGTTAACAAGTTGCCCTACATGCTTGCATGTCTTGACGAGGCAATGCGCATGTATCCACCCATTGCGAACGGTCTACCCCGTAAGTGTCCTGAGGGCGGTGCGAAGGTCTTGGGTGAATATATCCCGGCAAACGTGAGTCTCAGTTGATTTGGATACTACATCTTGATCTCTACTAACAGCGTTTGCCAAGACCTATGTTTCGGTTCATCAATGGGCACTTTATCGGCGCGAAGAGTATTTCAAGGACCCTAACACATACCACCCGGAGAGATTCCTGGGTGATCCATATTTTGCCGATGATCGTCGAGAGGTATTGCAGCCATTCCATATCGGACCGAGAAATTGCCTTGGAAGAAAGTAAGTGATGGCCTAGACAACCACAAGTGGGAACAGTCGATACTAACGATGTTGCTTCAGCCTTGCATATAGCGAGATGCGTCTAATCCTTGCCTTGATTATCTTTAACTTTGATATCGAGATTGCCGACGAAGCCCGGGATTGGATCAAACAGAGGAACTTCCTGATGTGGGAAAAGGGCCCGTTGAAGGTTCATTTAACTCGAGCGTAAGCTAATTTATAAGATAAAATGAACACTTGAGATGTATTGAATGATAAAGCTACTTATCTGACATGAAAGGAGCTTACGCCCATGATATCTAGGCGCCTAATCAGTGCCGAGATCTGAATTGGGTTATGCAAGCAAATGCGATCTGGCTAATGCCATGGCGTAGGATGTAGGTGTAACGCGTGGTTTATGCTAGCATTATAATCAAGCAGACTGGATAGCAAAATGACAGGATACATCTGCAGGATAACTAGACTTTTAGGGGTTCTACTTGTTGAGCATTCACGCACAGATGAAAATAATTAAAGTAATTGATTGTCCATATTAAGTCCTGCTTGTACAATGGAAATCCCACACCTATTACTCTATGGCACATATTAGTCATAGCATCATGCACGCCATATTGAACAAAAAAACAAGTAGAAGCAAAGCAAATGCAAGCCTTGAGCGGAAGCCACAAAGCCCATGTCTTCCAAACGCTCAAAAACAATCAGACTTCGTAAGGCATATATATATATGGGTATTTTTCTCTGCATCATGCACCGTAGAGAATCAATAAATCATGGATCACATCAGAAAGAAAAACGAAAAATTCAAGCGAAAAATGAAATGTATCAGAGCGGTCGGCTACACACTCGCTGTGCGTCGCGGAACCTCACTAGGCTTCTGAGCGTATGCAATGAACATTCGGAATCCGGTGCCGCGCTTCTGGCACTCGCGGAGTACTTTGCGGTCATTCCAGATACTCGGATCCTGAGAATTTACATTCGAGACAATTGGATCCTCGTAGCATTTTGAGTACCACCATCGTCCGACACGGGCAACGATCTTAGCGATTGACTCGTCGTTTGCCGGAGACGGGGAAGGATCGGAAAGCAAATCACCGAGAGAGATGTTCGTATCATTCGAGGGAGATTTCGAGGCAGTTCCCCTGCCTTGGCTACCACTTGCAGTTGTGACGGATATGGTAGGTAGCGAAAATGCAGTGGAGGGGGTAGCTGTTGAAATGGAGTGTGCTGACGAGCTGGAGTCGGAAGATCGGACGACCATGCCTGCTACTGGAATTCGGACCATGCAGCGGCGGAGACTGTCGAAGCCCTGGGTGCCGAGCTCGCGTTGGACGCTATCGCTGGTTGGCTTTAGGCTGAGGGTCGGGTCTGAGAGACAGGTCATTTCTTTTAGTTGGCGGATAGCTTTGCGCGTGCGAGGTCCCATATGAACCATGTCGCGGTCTAAGAGGCTCATTTCGAGATACCCTCCGGTGCGTAGGACACGTTTGCATTCTTGGATGATGTTGCCTTGGACGGCTTCGGAGCAAACAGTGGGGAATCGTAGCACGGCGACTGTGAAGTAGTCCTTTGGGAAGGGGAGAGGGTTACCCAGTCCGGCGTGATACACAGTGTGATGGTTGGTAGGGGGGTGCCATGCAGCGGGGTGGGGAGGTGCCGTGGATACAGGACGTCCACCCAAGCTGTATACCTCGGCATCCGGATACGTCAAGGAACAGTAGAAAGACCAGTCGTCATTTCCTAGTCCGTCGACCACAAGAATTCGCCCTTGGCTTCCAGCCTTGACGTGGTTATGCGCTGGGCTGAAAAGGACCCGGCCGAAAGACAACCAACGACTAGTCATGAGAGAAGCAGAACGCATGTTAGTCTGTGTCACTGCGTCCCACTCACGCTCCGGAGATGCGGCTTCTCGTTCTCGGTGGAACTTTGGCCTGGGCGAAGGGACAGCAGCAAGGGAGTTGAGAAACGTAGACTGCTGTTCACGTCGGTGGTCCGTTGAAGGCTTTTTGGTAGGATCGTCGGCCTGCGTCTTCTGGGTCTTCTCCTCATTTGAGCCTCTATATCCAGCAACGAGATCACTGTAAGACGGCTGAGACGAAGGAGCGGTAGATGATTGCAAAGCAGAGACAATCTGAGAACGGCGAAGATGAACGGAGCTGCCACTCGAGCGGACTGAATTGCCACCAGGTACTGACTGGGGATGATTGGTGTTATTTAACTCGTCCTGAAGAGCCCTGCTCGCCATCGTTGCAAGTTCAAATCTGCCTTCCTCTACAGTCTTTGCCGGTTCCTCAGGCTTCAGTTCATCTGGAGATAGAACATGATCAATAAGATCATTGTACTCGTTCCACACCTCGTCCTCAGTTGGTGGGGAGCCTGGAACCGGGGCCACGGCTGTAACTGCAGCCAGAGCTCCAGAGCTATCTGACGATGTTGAGCCTTTCTTTGGTGGAAATCGAAGAAACTCATAGGTTGTGAACGGTCCAGCAAGGAACTCCAAAGCGCTGGTCTGCTCGGAAGCGCTAAACGTCGGGTTGAACCCATGACCCCAGCCAGAAGATACGCTTGGACCAACCCCAATATCCAAGGGAACATTGGCGATAGGTGGAGATTCGTATGAGCTTTGTGTCGTTGGAATCGTGAGGGAAGGAGATTCGACAACACTGAACGGACGTGAGAAGGACTGCATGGCAGGTTGGTGGTGTCTATCGCGTCGTGAGACTACCGGTGGAATCCGACCGATAGAGGCCAAGCGTCTTGGACGTTGTTCAGGGGACGTCTCGAGTTCCGGGGCCATAAGGTTGCGGTTAAACATGGCAGTCCTCGGCGATGGGCGATCATCATTTTCAAATTCGCCATGCATTTTTGGCGGAGATGGCAATAGAATTGACGGCTTTCTTTTTCTGATGCTCAAGCCTCTTGGAACTTCCACGGGGTGGAAAATTGTTTCCTCCTCTGTTGGTGGTGAGTCTTCGATGTTGGTGATGATTTCATCGAGCTCATCTGAATCGGCATCCACCAAGGCGTAATGGGCAATGGGCCGACTGTTCACAACCGGGGAGATCGCCGCATGAAGTTTCGCGGTTTGGGATGAAGCCATTGGAGGAATTGAAATCTTCTTTTCGTTGTCACGGTTCTTCTGGAAGAAGTTCCACATAGATGTCTTTCCTTTCTTGCCTTGTTTCTCAATGTGCTCAGGCTTGAGCATTTTTTCCGGGGACTTTTGAGTACGCTTCGGTTGGTATGAGGTGGTAGTAATTTTCTCGTGACTAGGAAGAGATATGTTTGTGACAGCAGCCTGGGGGTTGTCAAACATGGCATGTCCCTTCCCGCTTGGGACGGGCATGCGTGACTTCAATGCATTTGGACGATCACTCGTCTTAGATTGGTGCTCAGAGCTTTTGCTTCCCATCGGCCTGTTGCCATTAGAATAACTTGGCGTAATAGTCTCACCGAACGTTCCTGTCGAAGTCGCGAGAGATTCGGTAGACTGGCTAGTCGAGTATGATAGCAGAGTTTGCCGCGGCAAGTTCGAAGTCGATGCAACGCTTATGCTGCTGAAACTCTGCTCGCTTTGTGTTCGTGATAACGACGCACCGTCTAGTCCACCGCCATTGATGATGACAGGCTCCAAACGGCTCATTAAAAAGTCGTCAATGTCCAACTCCGGGTGACTCGATTGACTCCCTTTGCTGGCGGCACTCCGTGTCGTGCTTGTTGATCTGGTTCTTGTCCCACTACTACTACTACCGCTTGCTTTACGGCCACGCTGTCCGTATTTTCCGTATCCCTCGTGACCTGTCCCCGCGGCTGGACCTTTGCGAGTTGCTCGAGCTTGCTCCGTCGAATTATCTGACATGTCTGGCTTGGACTTCTTTGTGAAAATACCGAATCGTTTTGGTGTTGCTATTGGCTTTGAATCCGGCTTCTCGTTGGAAGTTACTTTAGTCAACGTCCGAGGTGGCTTTTTAGATAGTACAGAAGAACTGCCACCCTGGGAAGGGGCTTGGGAGATGCTTCTTGATTGCAGCGAGTCGATTGATGCAGCGGCAGACGGGTTGGGAGTTGGATGTGGACGTTGTGTCGCTAGGATCTTTTCTATCGACTCGCGTCTTGTATGGCCTGTTGTTCTAATATACCGTAGATTGCTTTGAACAATCGGTGATGTTTCAAGGTGCAAACGATGCGTTCCATCTCTGCTCGGTCGTGGTGGGGTTTGCGGTGTCTCCCCATTCCGTGTGGGGGAACATTCCATTGCCTTGAGTGGCTCAAACAGACGCCTCTCTGCTTCCTCAACTTCCCTCCGGGCCTGCTCAACGTCGATTTCGGGGGCTTTGGGGGGGCTGAAATTGACTGATGACTTTCTCGGCGGCGGACTGCGAGGTGGGCCTCGGGGTACTGCAGAGGGGGATTTAGACGGTGGCACTTTCTGGCCTTTGCCGGTTCCTACTGAGCCTGCGCTAGAAGGCTTTGTAGGAAGTACCCGTTTCTGAGTTTTCGGCTCCGGCCTCTCTTGCGGAGGGCTTGCATGTGGCGGCGAAGGAGAGAAGACAGGTAACCTTGTTTGAGACGGGCTTGGTTGTCTCAGACGACCAATCTTTGTAATACCGGGAGAATATGATGATAATGATGTTGGGGTAGACCCCCGACTCCAAATACTCGGTGACTGCGAGTATCTTGTCGAGGGGCTACTTGACAATAAAAAGGGTGTGGGATGCGCTGGCAAATTTTGCGTATCAACTGTCGTTCGAAGACTTGCCAACTCCTCCGGGCCATTGAACTTAGACCTCACAGAGTTAACCGCCACATTACTGTCATTCTTGTGGGTTGGTTTGTAAGAGGAAGCCGATTGCGCCGAAAGTGAGGATGTCGAAGTTTCGTGTCCTGACACATTGTTCATAACTAGAGAATGGGACTCTTGCGGAATAACAAGGCTAAGCTTGTCAGAGTGCAACTGCTCCACATGTTTCCCTATTGTCGGTGCCTTCCTTCGAAGAACATTCCGTGTTCGTTTTGGCGGGGGTAATTGTTGTCCAGCAACGAAAAGCGAGGGGTTCTTAATCTCCAGGCTTGAAAGCGAGGAGGGAATTGTCTGGGTAGAATTCTGGGAAGAAGCCGACACTGGCGTGATTGGAGATGTTGTGCTACCAATACTAGGGCGCGGAAGCATGGACAGGCGATTTCCACGACTGCTAGATCGCTTGATAGCCAAAGGCGCTGACACCTGGCCAATATCTTCGGCATCTGAGAATGACGAGGTTCTGCTTCTAGGGGTGTGATTGAGTAGTCTCGCAATTTGGGATCGCGGAGGTCGACCATAGGCACCAGCATTGGTATGTGATAAGTTTGAAGAAGTATCGTGTGGCATGTGATGGCCAGAACTGTACGACATGGCGTACAGACGAATGAAGGCCCTGGCTCCAATCCAGGGACAAATGATTAAACGGTGGGTACATGTACTTCGTTATAGTAACCATCACGCCGTTATGGGGGTATATAGCTGTCTGTTTTAATCAGCTCATTGGTCCGACTTCATGTTCATGTAAGCTCACGGTATCTGAGTCATGTCAAACGAAGATATCAATATTGTTGGCGCCTAGCGCTTGAGGTATAGAATTAAGTAAAAGTAGATGGAATTCGCGGGGAAAAAAGGGTATCTCAAAGTCGCACAACTAAAACGCAAGTGTCAATAGACATTGCAAGGATGTTAAGAACCATAAAAAGAAAAGGAAAACACACTTACAGACGTCAGTAGATAAACGAGAAAAAAGTCCACTGTGGATCGGAAGCCTTAAAGCTGCAGCTACTTCGCCACAGTCCGGAGCAATGTGGCGTCAAATGTCAAGGTTGTTCTCCAGCCTTGGCCACGTCAGAGATGAAATCTAGCTGAAGTAGACAAAAATAAGTTGTAACGTTGTCAAAATGAGTAGATCAAAGACAGGAATTCCCGAGGCGCCAGAGATTTATGTGTTGACTGGGGTTGCCCCTCGGATGTGGGGGAAAATATCTCGAATCCGCAATGACCATATGGAAAGAATGTAACCAGCGATCTCATTAGCAAGAAAGTAATGTGACTACTGTGACAAGACGGGAAGAAATCGAGATTGCGAAGACCTAGAGCCTGTCAAAAGGACCAGTACATTGCAAAAGTTGCGTAGTGCTTCTGAAGCGATGCCCCCCATCGCAAAGTCAAAACGGGATTCTACAAATAACCAGGGCGATACCCCAGTGGCCAGATCAAGAGGACTGCGCGCACGGAAGCCCACATGGGGAGGTAAATGCCGGTCCACTCAAGGGTTCTCCCAGCAGGGACTTCTCGTTGGCTGGGCTTAGACGGTATCGGCTCTCGGCGGTAAAGGTATTAGGGCCAGACACAACGTGACAGGTTATAGTACAACCCGTGGCGTACCCCGGGGCCCTGGCTATTGCATGGTTTTGACTCGATTAAAAAAAAGACCTAACTTGTTTCCATGTCAGGTGAGCTGTAGACGCAAGCTGAGCACCTGCGCATTAGAACTGTACGATAACGAACAAACTCGTATTGACAACCAGTCTGGTTATCGCGTCTCTCGCCTCCTGGACAGCGCATTCGGAGACGCCGAACGACTGAACCCCGAATGGTGGAATGATCGACGCGAAGGTTTTTTTTGGGGGTTCTTTTATTTTTTTATGGCGTTTTGCAACTCCAACCTTTCCCGGGCATTCGGAGAATTTCCGTGGTCTAAAGGGACCATGCATATGCATAGTAAAATGCTTCATATTTCCGAAATCGCAATTTATTCCGATCCCACATGTATAAATGAGATATATCAAGTCTCCAACTTGAAAGATTTCCCAACGGCCATAGTCCATGGTTTGGTACAGAGGCCCGTCCCGAACCTTTCGGGGGAAATCCTTCCAATCATCTATAGGTTGGTTTAAAAGCGCAGGGGCTTTTAAGTCTAGACTTGTACAATCCAATGAGCCAGTAACTGTCCACAGAGAGCATTTCGTTGGGGGTTTCGATGTTCAAGAGAGCCTCGAGACAGTGGAGCCCGCTAGTCGCTGGGCTGTGATGGCCCACTGAATGATCGAGCAATGAACAAGCCCTGTGCGATGATCGAATGTTAGCTCGCAGCCACGTCTTAAAAAAAAGCGAGTTCCGGGTTGTGATTCGCGGGGAGTGTCACTGATCTAAGTGGAGAGAGGGCGGTAATCCGGGCAATAGGAACAACAACAGCATTGATATTATTGGAATTGTACAACTGTTGTACTATATCGTATGTACTCCGTACTTCTTGCGGAATACTCTCGGACTCTCAAAGATAAGTAAAGATGAATGTAAGGTCCCACAATCACGAGTTGGGCTATCTTCGCCTAGTGAGTGGTCGTACTGGTCGACGCCCATGCTGCAGGAACAAGCAACTAATGCACCCTTCAGCTGACTTCGCACACAATCAAACCGGGGCCAGGGAGTTGCTTCTGGGGGCCGTGAGAGAACTTTAAGGTTGAGTTTTCTCTGAGATTATTGCTTGGTTATGGGAAATGGAGAAAACTCATACACTATCAACTGCCCAGATGTTACTCCCGACCTTGGATTGCTTACATGTAGACATACGGACACAGCTACCTACAGTCTACAAAATGTAAAAATTCACACTTGTACATTTTCATTGAAACATATATTAAAACAAATCGAATGGAATGACCCTGGAATTGTCCGGCATATCAACACACAAACGCCCATGATGAAAGAACAAGAGATGGAACGGAAGACCAAGTCAGAAACCAGACAAAGCGAACTATTGGAAACATTTAAGCAGCGGCCGCAAACCGCTTCTTGCGAGCCTCCATGGCCGCATTATCCTTCTCACTCCAAGACTTCTGGGCAGTGTTCCCGCCGGCATTAGGTTTCTTCACGCCGGCATTGGTCTTGTTCCCATCGCCACGGTTGCGGTTTCCGTCACCACGTTGACGGTTGTTGCGGTTGCGTCCAGTGTCACGTCTCTTACCCCCACGACCACCCTGGTCGTTGCGAGAGTCGGTGCGGGCATCATTACGTCTCTTGCGGGAGCGCTCATCAGGAAGTGCCTGGTCAAGACGGCTTACACCCGCAGCGGATGTAGTCTCAGCCTCGGCGCCAGTACCGAACCGCTTAGCGCGCTCCAGCTGCTTCGTAGCCTCCTTCAATGCTGTGTCGTCATCCTCAACGATGCCAAACTTCTGCGCGCGAGCCTTACGCTTCTCGAGCTCCGCCTCCAGGTCAGTCTGGGGTAGTCCTCGTGTGTAATCGACGGCGAGCTTCTGTTCTGTCGCGGCTTCAGGCTGAGTGGTTGGTTCAGCGACGGCGCCGGTCGCCTCGACCTTCAAGTCCTCAGTTGTGGCGGGGTTCTCGTCGAGCTGTTGGTTCGGGACAGCGACGGGGTTGGAAACTGCGCCCTGGCCTCCAGCGGCAATGGCAGCTGCGCCAGCTTCTGTGGATGGCTCGATAATGGTCTCTGCGGGTTCGTCGTCCCAGTCAATGACGTCCTCGGCAGCGTCGGTCTTGGCTGCGGCAGGAGCTGCGGCAAGAGAGTCGGATGGCTTGTTCTCGTCGTGTTCCTGGAGGCGCGAGACCATGTCGGCCTTCTTTCCGGTGTGGGGGAGAGATCGAGTCTTCAGGATCTCAACCAGCTCGGCGTTGGTCTTCTTGCTGTAGTCGGTGGCCATTTTGCGATCGGAGATGGGTAGGCTGCAATTGGTGAAGGGAGAAAGGGTAGAAGTAAAACTTTTTGTTACAATAATCAGATGCTTGATTGTTCACTGCAGCCCAAATATTATGCGTGATAAATAAAGGAATGGAAGTTGGCTGAAGGAGAGCTCAGCGACGCGATCTTACCCAGTGGAGGTCCCCAGGTGCAATTACAACAATTACATAAGCAGTTTAGAATCATCCCATTGGCCAGGCAACAAAGCCACCTCCACCTCTTGAAGCTTCTCGATCATTTACTTGGATATCTTATTCCCTCAGAACTCCTTACATTCCATGCCCTTTTGGCATGTGTCTAACTGGAATGAGCTAACAACGGAATTCTGTCATTTTCACTCTTTTGACGTAGCCTTGGTCTGCCGATCGTTCTGGTCTGGATGTCCTTTTTACTTGGTTCCTCCATCTCGAATTCAGGCGAAACCCAACAGGCGCTTCAATCTCCGAATGAGATTATGACAGCTGTACAACGTACAGAGTAATGCGACAGCTTGTTGGGGGAAATATGCCAATCTGCATGCACTGCGCCACACCTGACAAAAACAGGTTTATACATACGCTACATCATACGCCACAATGCTTCCTCAGGCATCGACTAAACTACAGGCCAGTGTGCCATTATTGTCAAAAGTACGGAGTACGAAGCATAAGAAAGAAGATGACTGGTTATCTAATTCATTTTAATCAACAAAATAAAAAGAGAGAGAAAAGAAACCCCCCCCAATCCAATCAGCCCAGGGTGTCCGTGACAAGTACTTCGTAAACGCTTTGTCACCTCTTGCAACCACCCCAACCCTCTGATGTAGATTTGATGCTTTTCAGTCTTGAATGTCCTTCTGTTCCAGTTGCTGTAAGTCTAATTAGGACCATGGCGGTCAATAGCGATTCTATTGAAACGTATAGTATACAAACTAGTACAAAGCATGTATAGGATAAAGATATCTTGCAAAGATGATACTAATACTCGAAGTATAGTACCAAAGATAAAATTGTAACCTGTCTACCATATCAATGCCTGGTAAGAGCCCCATATGTATAGGCTTTGTGCCCTTGTAGATACCGATGATAAACCCCTCATATGCTGGATACATGAGGTACATCGTAACACACACCCTAGTTTCGAGGACCTCGGAACCGATGGTTGTTTTCTTTTCCACGAAGTATCATAAAGTCTGATGAACTTATACATGTTGGGTTTCTCGCCTTCAGTTCAACTCAAAATGAACAGCTGTCAATACTTAAAAAAAAAGTCTCGTCTCATTCCTAGCATTGAGTAAATAATTTATGACAAAGATACCAAAATGGAAGATCTACGACGTTACAAGTAACAATGCATCTTTCAACTATAAAATGGCCGTATTTCTGATCACTTATTGTATAGACATTGCACTTCATCTATCCCTCAAGCTTGATAAGCTCTAAGGTGGAATGGACCTACTATGCCTAATCGAGCAAAATGACGTGAGCTACCTACATGTAGTTTTATGGTTCCAATTATTAAGAGAACTTCCTATACAAGCACCGGACATTCAAACTATCATTTCACTCAATTTCCACCTTCATCGAACTACTATCACTCTCGTTACTCACAACTACCCAGCTGTCACTCCACCTTCGTTTTCCACTTGTTCAGTCAACTCAGACTCCGCCTCCATCTGCGTGAGCTAAACATCTTTTCCAACATGCAGTCGGTCCTCGATATTTTCTCTTCAGTGCTCTCTCGATCATGTGGAAGACGTACTCCACCTTCTGAGATTCCCAAGATGGATACGCTGGCTGGTCTCCTTGTCGAGCTATTGTTATCAATAACCGGCTTCCTCCCTCTGAATGATCGTATTTGAATTTCACTCTGCAGTCGCCGGCTCTTTGCCATATTCAACCATCGAACTAATCTCGCTCGGCTATTAGGAAAAGACAAACTACCTGTTTTACGCCGGTTGGAACGAGATCTACCGGAATACTTCGTTTGCTATATTTGCCATATCCTTCATAAGTATGACGGTTCAGAATGCTTCGGCCTATCTGGCTCGGTATATGACCAGGATAAATGTCCTCTTCAATGTGTCAAAAAATGGAAACGACATGACTTTGATTTAGAATTGAGAGATCAAGCACCGAGCGCGTTCCATGTCTACCGCATATTCTTCTTTCTCCATCTTCAGCTTGCTATGAGAAGATTCTACTATGGTGAAAAGTTTGGAATTAGCACTGAATCGTTATCTTACACCCAAGTTCGCGCCCACCCCGGACCATCATCATGCCCTGAAATCACCTCTTTCTTTTCGACCGATGCACAAATCTGTCCAAAGACACCGGGACTTTGTTTAAGAATCTAGCATGTGATGTTTGTTCACGGTAGGAAACCGGAACTATTCCTTTCTCGGCAGGATATTGAATCTAGGTGCCACCCTCCACAAGTTATGTTTATTTGCATACACGTCTCGCGTCAGAGACATGCGAAATTACTTGATGCCGTGGTAAAAGCCCATACCAGTGGAGAGAAACTCCCAGTTCCACTCATACTTGCGACATATGCGCCGCAGATTCCCGTATCGAAGTTTGTGAATATGGATCTGATTTAGCTCTGGTTCTTACAACATGGATTAACCTTGGCCCTAGTCTGACCCCAGATGACCCTAGATGGATAGTCCATTCCTGTAATCGGAAGTTTAAGAGGGTGACACTCGATCCAAATCATCGAAAAGACAGCCCGCGGGTCTGTTTTGAAAATGTGTCGCCTCAGTCATTAGAGGCCTTGCGGTCATGTAACCTTTCCTATCTTAAGGACCAGCGATATAAGTGGGTTATGTGGCAAGTCGATTGGTATAGAAGCGTCTGGTGTCTACCAACTAAAAGTTCTTGGGGAAGTTACTGGTTTATGTCCTAAGGGTTAGCTGTCGAGGCGCAGGCTACCAATTGCCTACCTCGCTCTTGCTTAGTTGCAATTCAAGACCTTCCCATAAAAATCCACCTATTTCCAAACACCATATCCCAAAAGATGGTAGGGCTGTCAACTCCACTAATAAATACGTCACATATTATATAATGCTCAGGGCTGACTTAGAATGAGATTTTCCGAGTATCTGTCTTTTCTTTGAAGTCCCTATAAAACCGCTTGTGCTGCTCCAAAAGAATCAGCGTTGCCATAGTCTGTGGTCCCAGCCGGACAAAGCCAGGCGTCCACCCTCGAAAGACCCATCTCATTCCCTCTAAGGCTGTAAGATCCTTTATAACATGCAATATTCCTCGCTTGTTTGATGAACCCATTAACTGGGTCTTGAGTACATCAATCGGACTGCACAGCGTTGTAGCAACCAGTGCCGCCAGGAAAGATGCCGATAAATGCAAACCAGGATGATCGTCATGAATCCCAGTGGTTGCCACTATCAGATCCCTAAAACTATCATATGATGCAAGCTGACAGGTGGTCATCATACCACAGCGGAAAGCATTTGGCCACAACCCCTGTCCAAAGGCCTTCCATCCCTCTTGGTGCCAGATCTGTTTCCAAGCATCGAATATGTGCCGGTAATTGTGACGGAGATGAGGTGGTAGTGAGCCGTCATTTTGCATTCGGATGTTGCCTATATCTGAGGAGTTGCCGAAGATTGCGCCAATGAATCCAGAAATTCCTGCCAATAGCCCCAGAACTGGTGGGGAGGTGGGGATGCTGTTCGCTTTGGTGCGTTCTTTTAGTGTCTCGTAGAGGCCGATGCGGACTGAGCCATATGTTACTGTGGAATGGATGAGTATCAATTGGGATTGACGGAAGAGATGGAATAGGTGAACTAACACTGTCTCATAAACCCTGCCGAAAGCTTCAAAACATCAGTGTCTCGTCACATTATTGTTGATCTTTCTTATACCTACCCCGTTATAAAGCGCAAGTACACCCTCTCCCTGAACGATTCGAATGCAGGTATTAAGTGTCCCGGCTTTCGTACCACCATGCTCCATTTGCATTCTGACCTTAACTATGATTGATCAATCAGAACTGTGTTCTTTGTAATGAAGTAGCTGAGCTCACTCAGGTCCAAAGGGTGAGAAACAAGGACCGCCATGCATGATGCAGAGCCCCCGAACCACTTGGGGTATATAATTGGCTGAGAGACGTCTATTTGTTTGCTCATGTTGAATATTTCAAATTGACTTCACTTTGCTTCTAAGGTAATCAAGAATCATTGGATGTTTTTGTACCTTGCACAGTGGCATATAGCCGATTTGGAGATCATCCACAAAGCCGGACTCGGTGCGGGGGTTACCAGATAGGTGAAGTAGGCGGTTATAATGGCAAATACCTCGGAATTTCCATGAATACTCTTTGTACCGTAAATAACTCGATATATGTAACCGAGGGTTCAGCTGTTCAAACCAAAGCTGTGTGGGAATTGTCAAAATAACGTGGTATAAAGGTCATGAAGAGGCGTCAGAAAAATCAAGCGGTTTTCGCAGTAAGGTTAGAGTGAATATTGAGGTAGGCAAGTTGAAATCAAGCAATCAAACACCCAACCCTGTTTATCAAATGAGCCTGCCATGGACATGCTACCTAGACAGTTGGGCTGCTAGAAACATCGAGTTGGTCGGAGCCTACAAAACACATACAAATTTTCCCGTTGACAGCTTCCAAGGCACTGCATTGTAGGGACAAAAGGGAGAGGGGAAGTCGCATGAGAGACAGAGCACCGAAGGTATCTGCACTACGAGGGTGATCGCCCACAGCAACCACACCCTCACCTCGACTGGCTAGGTAATTCACTTTACTGGCTGCTGAGATGGATATTGAACCGACGTCTTCTCCAAGCGCCCGGACAAGCCGAACAATTGATGAAAAAGTGAGTTCGCGTCGATTGGGGGTAGTGTAAGCCCAATGACACTGTGCAACGAGGCATGCGCAAGCACAGGGGCCAAGTCGCGGGGTCCAAAAATAGGAATAATCAAAGTGTTTCCTGGACGGAAACTTTCAGAGATTAAACTGAAAAGAACAGATACTACACTTGATCTAAGCCAATAGGCAAAGAGAGCTGAAGAAGAAAGAAAAGAAGAGGAAGTTCTGGGGGGGAAAGGACCTTCTTATATCCCCAGGGCGGTGTGGTTTTGCCACAAACAAGCAAATAATCCATGGATCGGCAATGCAAGGGATATATATATTCGGATTCGGGCCTCTGCTGGAGGTGATAGGGAACATCTCAGGTTCTCTAAAGTAGTCTACGCAGGACCTCCATGAACATAGATTTGTATGTAAAGGTACCATGTACTATACAAAATATAAAATTCAAGACTTCAACTCGTGTTACTTAGATTTATGGATAATATCCCTACATTGAAAAAGAAACAGCTCACGGAAGAATCAGATGTTCACTATACACAGGGCTTGTCTGAAGCAGTAAAGGTAGAAAAAAAACAGACACACAAAGGAGAATGACAGGACATAATAGCACAACGCCATGGGAAGAAAACATGGAGTATTTGGTACACCCTAGCCAGCGTCGAAAGTTCTAGGGTTTATAGATCACATCAAGGAAATGGGTGGTTCCTCTTTTCTGATTTTCCCCCAGCCCAGGCGAATCTAACCATCTAAGAGGGTACCATGGGGAGGTTTTCTTCGGGTTTGGTTTTTCTTTTTTATTATTGCGTTGCCAATATCATTTACCGGTCAACTTCACCGAACACAAGATCCATAGTACCTAGATTCAATGTTAGGGGCTGGAATGGAAGAAGACAAGGGAACAAAGACTTACCGATAATCGCGACAGCATCGGCGAGCAGGTGACCACGAGAGACCTGATCGAAGCCGCCCAAGTGGGCGAAACCAGGAGCACGGATCTTGCAGCGGTATGGCCGCTCACTACCATCACTGACCAGGAAGACACCCATCTCACCCTTGGGGGCCTCGATGGCAGAGTAGGTCTCACCAGGGGGCACGGAGTAGCCCTTGGTGAAGAGAAGGAAGTGGTGAATGAGAGCTTCCATGTTCTCCTTCATGGCGGCACGGGGAGGGGGTGAGATCTTGTAGTCCTCCACGCGGACCGGGCCGGCGGGCATCTTGTTTAGACACTGGTGAATGATACGGAGGGACTGACGGAACTCCTCCATACGGCAGAGGTAACGATCGTAGCAGTCACCGTTGACACCGACGGGAACGTCGAACTCAACCTGGTCATAAGCATCGTACGGCTGTGACTTGCGGATATCATAAGGAACACCCGAGCCACGGAGCATGACACCAGTGAAACTCATGTTGAGCGCATCGGTGGCGTTAACAACACCGACGCCTTGGGTTCTGGCCTTCCAGATACGGTTATCCGTGAGCAGCTCCTCCGTCTCGTCAATGCGGTCACCGAATTGAGTGGCCCACTGGTAGATGTCGTCCAAGAGACCAATGGGGATATCCTGCGAGACACCACCGGGGCGAACGTATGCAGCGTGGAGACGGGCACCGGAGACACGCTCGTAGAATTCCTAAAGTACCCGAAGTGTCAGTAAATAAGGCCTGGCCGTAATTACTTTCGCAGCTCTCAATTGCTCACCATAAGCTTCTCACGCTCCTCGAAACCCCACAGGAAAGGAGTCAGGGCACCCACGTCCATTGCGTGGGACAGGACGGACATGAGGTGGTTCAGGACTCGGGTCATCTCGCCGAACAAGGTACGGATCCACTTGGCACGGTCAGGGATCTCGACGTTCAACAGCTTCTCAACGGCCAAGGAGAAGCACTGCTCGTTGGTCATCATGGAAACGTAATCCAATCGATCAAAGTAGGGCAGGGCCTGCATGTAGGTTTTGTACTCAATCAACTTCTCAGTACCACGGTGAAGCAAGCCGACGTGGGGATCGGAGCGAACGATCTCTTCACCGTTGAGTTCCAGAATCAATCGGAGCACACCGTGAGCAGCGGGATGCTGAGGACCGAAGTTGACGGTGTAATGACGAATCTTGCGGTCGGTCCCTTCGGCCTCGGATTCAAGGGGAGCAGCCTCGGGGTCCTCGGGAACACGCTTGTTGGCGAGGGAAGTGAAGGTTGGGTCAGTCGGCACAAGTCGTGTGGCCTGGTAGCTAGTAGCCTCTGCATGACGGCGAGGAACAGAGGTGGCTATCGAGCGGGAACGAGGAATGGATGTGTTGAGCGAGGAGGGGCGGAGGCAGAGCCTTTTGGGCGCATTGCCCGCTAGGCGGGCGAAAGAAGCGGCCATGGAGGATGGAGAATTGGAGATCCAAGAGGGAAAAGAGGGGATATGATCCTCAATCCACGCGCATTCAATGGGTGGATATGGCTCGCTACGGGTAGGTAACTCGCTGAAGGTCTCAAGTTGGGAGTCGCATTTTGGCTCGTCACGTGAGAAGCTGCCGGGTCATCAGCCGTGCGCTGGTTGGCTTGAATGGGCCACTATACTGTGCTGGTACTCGCTCCACGCTAGCCTGTTCTTGGCTTAGCGCTGTGAATTTCTGGCATGGTTCTGTATTTGTGGATTATGTAATCCGAATATTCCGCCCCGGGCATGTGCAGAATAAAGCCCCCATCGGTGCCTCAGGCAAACTAGAAAATTGCTTCGAGAAATCTCTCTTATCGGTGATCGCGGATTTTACCTTCAACCTCCACCAGACCTTATACAATTGCTCACCATGGCGCCTCTTGTTCCCTCGCAGGAGGAGCTGCAGCGCCGCCGTGTATGTCTTTAGTAATGATCCCATGCAGCCCAGAATACTAATTATTCCAGATCATTGGTATCAATGCGGAAACCGTCACCAATATCCCCTCTACAGATTTTCCTGGCCACTGGCCCGGAGAGTCGCATGGATGGGCACTCGACGAATTCAAGAATGTATGTATTGAAACATTACCATGAAGGTATAATCTGCTTGATTCAGTCAATTCTGACCACTTACATCCAACAGAATTTCCAAGTCGAATTCCACCGCAATGACCGGTTCGACGCTTCCTTCTCGCTAGTTGGCCTCGACGCCTCAGTCGCCAACGCTTTCCGTCGTATCCTTATGGCTGAGATCCCCACCATCGCCATTGAAGACTGCTTCATTCACAACAACACTTCCGTCATTCAAGATGAAGTGCTCGCACAACGATTGGGCCTGATCCCGCTCAAGGGTTCTGTCGAGGGAATTAACTGGATGCACTGGTACAAGAAGGCGTCAGAAGACGGAACCGAAGAGGAAGATGGCCCCTGCGACTTCAACACCATCGTGTTGCATCTTGACGTGGAATGTTACAAGAACGAGTACGCAGACAAGGACGAGCAGGACCCCCGCAAGCTGTACACCAATGCCCACGTTTACGCCAAGGACCTCATGTACATGCCTGTCGGTCGTCAGGAACAGTTCTTCGTCGGCGATGGTGCTATTGCACCTGTCAACCCGGATATTCTGATCGCCAAGCTTCGTCCCGGCCAGAAGATCGAGATGGAACTCCACTGCCAGAAGGGTATCGGTGCCGATCACGCTAAGTTCTCACCCGTGGCTACCGCTTCATACCGTCTCCTGCCTGATATCAAGATCGAGCGTCCCATCATTGGCGACGATGCGAAGAAGTTTGCCAAGTGCTTCCCTAAAGGTGTGATTGGTCTTGAGCCTGTCACCTCTGCAGAGGCCGCGCAGCGTGGAAGTGGATACGAGGGCCACACCGGCGAGCAGAAGGCCGTCGTGAAGGATGCGTTCAATGACACTGTCAGCAGAGAGTGCCTGCGCCACGATGAGTTTAAGGATAAGGTCAAGCTGGGACGGGTTCGGGATCACTTCATCTTCAACGTGGAGAGCACCGGTCAATTTGAGAGTGACATGCTCTTCCTGGAGGCTGTCAAGGTTATGAAGCTGAAGTGCAACCGGTGGAAGAGAGGTCTGACCGATCTGATGGGTTGATCAATTGGTCTTTTCTCTGGTACACCTTATTATATGCATTCTTTGGCGTTGGATTTTTTGGCTGCCTTTGCGCTGTACATTTACGAAAAGTCGATCAGGGCTTCGCCTCACGAGGCTGGAGTCTGGATGTGTTAATTGTTTTGGAAAAGAGCCCAACAGCTATCTTTTGAATTCTACACAGTTAACTAAGGCTAATCATCCCGGTCATAAGATATCTGGTTTCTCGTAATTTCCACATGGAAAGGCAGGGCAAGTTACCCTTATTTGAAGTGAAGACGGAAGCGGAATGTGGTGGTGTAGGCTGGGTCGCTGACAGCGACTTCTTCGCCATCCTCGATCAAATCTGCCAGCTTTTTTACCAGGTGAGGCCGAGTCATTTCCTCCAGCTGAGGCGGGAAGCGCTGGTAGAGGGTCTTCTCTTCGGTGCGCATACTAGGTTTCTTCAACTGAGCCTCGGCTCTTTCCCCTAGGCTCTCGATGAACTCGCCCAGGGTCATATTGGGATCCACGTTCAGCTTCCTGGAAAGTTCTCCGCACACGGGGCAGTCCGGCTTCTTCTCCGCCTCGAAGGTGTATGTGTACACCCCTTCCTCACCAGCATACATCATGTAGTTGGATAGGAATGGATTGCAGCTAGTGGCGATCTTGAGCACTTCTGAAGTTGTGGAGGCCGCAATGACGGCGTTTGTTGATGCGATAGCCGGAATGATATTTTTGACCACACCCTGGGTCATCTGGAAGGTAACGCCATGGATATGGAAATGCTGGGCACGTTCGTAAGCGGCATTGTATATCCACGATATGTGTTCCATATTGTCACTGTCAAAGGTGTCGTCTTTGCGCTTCTCTTGCCATGCGATCTGGTGCGCCCATTCAATGCAGTGTTGAGGCTGGCGCGGGATGGTAGCAATGGTGCAGAGAGGAACTGCTGGACGAGGTGCGTGCATATCCAGCTGGCACTCAATGCAGGATGAGATAGACGGTAGAATGACACGGGCTTGGCCCTTGAAACCTGTTTGATATATTAGCGATATGTTCTTGCCTAAGTTTGACAGTGTAGGTAGGTACCTTCAGTTCCACCGTCAACAAGTGGCTTCAGGCTCAAAGGGTCATCTTCATCGACCATCGAGATCAATGTGGAATTGATCCAGCGTCGAGCTTCGATGCTGTCCAAGCCACAGACGACAATATTAAACTGCATGTAGTAGTCTTCATCTTTATCCTGGATCTTGCCGACGTAGGGCGTGATCTTCACTCCCTTAACTCGCTTTTGCACAAAAGCGGCGGCGACTTCAGCTTTAGATTTTCCGATATCTGCCTGGCGGAACAAAAACTGCCGGTTGAGATTTGATATATCAATGGTGTCTGTCGACTGTGAGCTTCTGGTCTTGGCATTATGAGTTGAAACACATACCCATGTCAATGACATGAATATCTTTGAATCCTGACAGCGCGAGATTCTTCAAGATCTCGCATCCTAGTCCACCAGCTCCACTAGATCCCAGTCAGTTCTTCCTCTTGATAGAATATCACAACTTTGTGAGGATGACAAACATCACCCTAGGATTCATGTTAGCCAAAGTTATGTCTCCGAAATGAATCAACTTACAGGATTTTGGCAGATTCCAGAGCATTGATAGGCTCGGGGCCAGGGTTCCAGTCATCATCTGTAAAAGGACCCCGTTTACTTAGGACGTTGTAGAGGTGCTTCCTGTGGGGTATTAGAGCAGATCAGACGTCTCAAGGGTCATCCAACGCACCATCGACCCTGCTGGTCCACGTAAATCGGAGCTTCTTGGGCATCTGAGGTTTGCACATCCACATCCATTTCGATAGAAATCCTGTTGTGGGTAATTGGTGAGAGTAAATAGGCGTAGTATCAATTCGCGTTACACGGGCCAACGCTCGTTGCGGTTGGCGACAGGCAGAGCGAGCTTGATGGGAGCGATGTCAGGTATATATCTAGTTCGTCTTTTGATCGGACCACCAAAATATTCAAGTCACAGGTAATGAAGAGGCTGAGTTGACAACATCACCTGCGCGTGGGCTGCCTTGAGGTGACTATGGCTGACTAATCTCAGGCCCGCCTACTGTAATCTTCACCTGGCACAACATCTCTTTTCCCCCGAAGTGATATTCAAATCGAAAATGGAGGCCCTTCTGACGGCAGTGAAAACTGTAAATCGAGATTCAGATGCCCTTGTTACATCTACTGTCGAGTCTTTGCACGCTGATCCCCCAGCAAGAGACAATATTGATCCTGAACATCTATCATCACATCACATTATAGATCTACTCAAATCCAGCCCCGATCGTGAACAGCTGTACGTCATTTTGGCAGCCCTAGATCCCTTCAGCAAATCCACAACTACAAAGGACTTCGACCTCCGGGTTGCGAATCCTATCACAGCCCAGATTCTCCAACTATTAGTCAGCACCACGATTCCAGATCATTGGGGATCGCTAGATGCAAAAGATAGCAAAGGGAAAGACGCCAAAGCTCGAGCAGCACTACTGAGATGTCTTAGCAGTGTCGCAGGTATCGGCTCCTTGGCGGCTCAGCTACGATCTTTAATCAATTCAGCCCGCGCTTCTGCCCAGCAAGCCCGAGGTTCAAGCAGCCAACTCGGTATCCGGGATCTTCTGGCTGTGCTTGCTGCTTTGCTAGAGCCAAAAGACTTTTTGTTCCGTCTTTCTTCTGATATTTCGGTCATATATGACAACAAAACCAGACAGCAAGTTACGTGGAGAGAGCTTGTGTCGCTCGTTGCTGCCGGCAAGATTTTATCAACAGCAGCCGAGGCCCTTACTGTTACTGATGAGTCAAGATCAGTATCTTCAGTCTCCTGGGTTGGTAATGGTTCCCAATATGCATCGTGGCTTGGGCGCAATGTTTCTCATATGGCAGCGAAACTAGCCCCAGATGACGAAAGCGACTGGGCCTCAGTTGCTTTGTTGACAGGGCGAGCATTAAGCCTTGGATATACAGGTGAATATACAGCGATTGTTTGATTTGAGCCCCATGCTAACATCACATAGATCAATTTGTCAAAGAAATTTACGCGGGTCTACTTCTTGAGCAGTCTTCGCCAGCGTGCTTTGGGGTCTTATTAAACCATCTCAGACGGACGGAGCAGCTTGCATTTGTAGAAGCGATTTTCCGTGATATCCAACGAAAGCACTTTTCAGACGATCTATCGGGGATAGTGAGCCCATCACTCACTCCTTCAAAGTCCATTGAAGGGGTGGCAGCTTTGATTTCTGCTGTCATTTCTTCTCGTCCAGGCCTGGAAATCCAAGTCATGGAATGGCTCTCAAAATCGCAAGGTGGCTCGATAAACACGTTGGGACTACGCCGTGCATTATTAGCCACTTGTAGCAACCGAGGTGGTAAGTTCGCTTTGCTGAAGGAAAAGAGACAACGAAACTGACGACCTGCAACAGATGTGCTGAAGTCATTGCTCATACGTAGCCTTGAGCAATTTGGAGACAAGTTCTCTATCAAACATATCCCAAGTGTGGTTCAGAATGGTTTGTCAAGAATCCGCAGTCCTTCGTGCCCAGAATATCAGCCTCTGACATTGAACAGCAACTGCACAAGTGATCCTTCTTGCCGCTGGCCATCTGTATCGGCTAGATCAAGCGCAAGTGAAAGAAGTAGGCCGATCAGGAGCATATCTCAATGCAGTCTCCAATCGACTCGCTGCGTCCTCTAACAGAGCACGACTTCTTGGCATGATCGTTGGAACAGGAATATCTGAACTCATTGAGCAATCAGACAAAGTGCTGAAATTTGACCTAGAGGAGATGCGAAGCGAGGAGGCGCTGTGGTATTTGGATTTGACAAAGGTCGAAGACAAGGTCGGCTCTCCTGAATCCATCAAAGCATTGCAAGAGTTATTGCCAGCAAAACCAGAACTGGTCCGCTCTAAGCCTACACAAAAGCCGAAAGCACAATTTTCCCGCCACCATACAAGCAAGATTGTTGCTATTGAAGAAGTTGAGAATAGTGACGAAGATGAAGATGACGATGACGATGATGATCTCATTCCGTATGAAAAGCCGGACGACGACGCATACGATTCTGATGACGATCCCACGTTGATCCAACGGAATAAGCCGATAGCGCCTGTGTAAGTACAGATTCCCCACCGACATTGATCTCGCTAACAAATGTAAGATACATCCGTGATTTGCTTCCATCTCTCCGAGACACCGAGAATGTCGAGCGGTATCATCTCGCCATCACCACTGCCCCATCCTTAATTCGACGGAAGATAGGATTTGGAACTGAACTTGCCGAGCAGATTGAGGAGCTGGCTCTAACTGTCGTTGGTCTTCAAAATGACAACAACCATCCGACATTCCATGAATCTCGCCTACAAAGCATGATTGCATTGATTGTATCCGAGCCCTTCAAGATGGGCCGATGGTTCACTGCCATTTACTTCGATGGAGACCTTTCACAAGTCCAGAGATCCGCTGTTCTTACAGCCCTGGGTCTGAGTGCTCGCGAGCTAGCCGGGAATGGAGAAGAAGATGCCAAAGCACTGCGTCTCCCAACTACTGGCGATACCTCATTCCCATCCAAACGGCTCTCGCCTGCCCTGGAGGCGATGTACTCGGGAGCAAACGAGTCTCCCATCGCAACGCTGACCCAGAAAATGTCCCGCGCGTCCCTAGAGCCGCTCGCAGCCAACGCAGCAGATACGATGGCTGGCCCCAACGCTCTCAAAGTGCGAACCTTCTCATCACGTATGGAAGTCGAGAAGAAACGCAACCAACGTGACGCCCAGCGCCAAAACTCCACAATCAAGGATCTGCACAAGGTGCTTGCCGAAGGTTTCTTCTTCCCACTGCAGGGCAGATTTGAGATAATGATGCTGCAGTTCTCGTCGTATGTCTTATGTCCCCATCTCATTTCTAAACAAATGTATACTAACATCACTCTAGGTCCTCCACTTCCTCATACAATCCATTCTTCGTCCCACATCTTCTAACTCTCTTCCTCCAAACCCTCACCCTCATCCTCTCCACAACAGGCCCCCATACCCCCTTCCTCCCAGGCCTCACCCACGAAACTATCTCCCTCCTATTACCGCTACACACAGCCTCGCTCTCCAGCGAGCCAACCGTCACTGCCGCGCTCCTGTCCCTCTTCCTCGTCATAGTGGATCTCAATATTGCGTCTGGCTCAAATGGCGAACAGCGTCTTGTCACCGAATACGCCACGCAGGTGATCGAGTTGCGCGAGTGGGCCTCCCAGGTCTTTGACCGGACGCCGCCTTCAGCTGCGCGGACTGATCCAAGTTCAGCGGTTACTGACCCGCAGGAGCAGATACGTACCCTTGCTGCTGGTGTTATGGTGCGACTTGGGGAGGTCATAGAGCGGTATCAAGGTCGGCTGATGGGTGTTCATTCTGGATTCAGCTATTAAAAAGAATATCAGGGTATCCATCTGTTTGCTGGATTGAAATCTAGAATCGAAGCAGACGATGGAACTATGTGAACATTATTGAAAAATTCCACGCCGAACGAGTCAAATAGCCATCGATGCGCCTTGGTCTTTACATTAGAAGAAGACTGTATATCCCTTTTCTTCCGAAAATGACATACATAGGTATTATTATGATCACTTAGGCGTAGATTAACCCATTTACTCCGCCTTGGCAAAGCTACCCTTCTCGATAGCCGCCTCCATCATCCGATCACCACTAATGATACTCGTGGTACAGATGATGATCTTCCTCCGCGGAGCCTCTCGCGCAGCAATGAAGCGCAACGCGGCGATTTCGGTGAACGTGATGCCTCCCAAGAAAAAGACATAAACAGTCTTTGTAGCAGAGTTACCACTCAGTGTTTGACGAGCCCGCACAGCCTTATCATCACCCTTCTGAACAATGCTGAAGGTTGCACCGCGAGCACTCTTGACAACGTCCTCGAATCCAAGCCAGCCAGGCGACGTTATATTAGCGGTATTCAGCGCGGCAGCCGGCGTACCTCCCTTGATAAGCGAGACCATATAGGACTTTTGTAACACGCATTGAACCAGGCGAACGCTGAGGGGCGCGAAGCCACTGTACACGTAAGAAATATCGTTTGGATCCTTCTCGCTGACCTCCTCGATGACAAGACGGAGATTCTTGCGCAGGTACCCGTAGTTTGTCTTTGATCCTGCTTGGGCACCGGATGTAGGGAGGAGCATCATCGTTGCTGAGGATCTGGGCTGAAGAAGTTCCATTTTCTCTAGAGCCCAGAATGTGAGGAGGTGCTGGTGGCCGTACGCTTGGACGACCTGTCTCTTGAAGTTCTCTAGGTCTCGGGGGCGGAGACCCCCAGACATGCAGGACTCCAGACACAGGAGCCGTAGCACAGTCGTTAGTGGAATGTCTCGAGCTATAAGCTCTTCAATTGTCTCGTGCTGGTATGTGGAGTCGGCACCGGCTGCGTTGTTTTGCTGGACTTCCAAAGTTTTGCGGAAGGTTTCGGAGCGAGTGAGTCGCATTATTTCCTCCGCGAGGTTGGTATGGGTTCGAAGACTCTGATGTTCCAGCTGGTAGGTTGGTAATCGGTTGACAAATTCTCGAAGTTCGCCTGTTGTTTTAGCCGTGTGGCGGCTCTCGTACTCATTTTCTAAGCGACGTGCCACCTTATTCAGGATATCGCCCACGATTGCAAAGTTTGCATCTCGTAGTTGGCTGAACAACTGATCCGAGGCATCTAGCTGGATCTTTCTTTTCAGTCCCTGCTTGGCTTGCTGGGGTGTCTTGGATGACTCTTGGGACTGTGGCGTGGGAGCAGGGCCGACAATGCTCGTATCAACGTCTGCTTGGTTGTTCTTTATACCGACATATTCATCAATTAAGCCTTCATAGGTGAGCTGTGTGAGAAGGGGTGTCCCAAAGTCCACGTCACGGTCTATGATGATCAAGTTTTCTACACTCGCACTTGGCAACAGCCCTCGAGCAGAGGGATCAGCCAATCCGGAGCTCTCCTCTGTATCAATTTCTTTCCTCATGCGCAGCAGGAGATCTGCTAAGCGCCGGGCATTGTCGCCTTTTCCCACAATGCGTGGGAAATAACCATGGCGCTGTTGGACACCCATGAGAGCCTTCGCAGCATGGAAGATGCACCCGGGATCTTTGTGCTGAATAGCAAGGTCAGAAACGTCTCATTCATATGTTAGCAACCTATCAACTTACCAAGTACAAGTCTCCAAACGAATCATCCAGTTCTAGTGACAAGATATCCTGTTCCAGAGGCATAAAATAGAGAGGAAGCTCGGCGATGTTCACGTCACCAATGATTCCCGCTTCCTCCAAGACCGCATTGCTTACAAGGGTCCGTCTTGGAGCGAAGAAGATAGAAAACTCGTGTTCGACGTTCCCATTATTCTGCAGGCGTTTGATTTGTTCTAAGATAGAAATGTCAGCTCATCCTGATGGCACTCAATCAGAGATAGCAGGAAAGGGCCCTAATGAAACGAGCTTGAGAAATGTTGTAAATATAGATATCGATATAGGGAACGTTTCTCCAGATTACATAGAGTAGGAAAGCCTCTATGTAATCTAATGATGGCCCATCCTGGACCCAAATGAGGATATCCAATATACAGCCTAACAAGCCGAAAGGGGGCAAAAAAGAGACAATGTCATACCTGCCACAATTCGAACGTGGCGAGCTTTCTCGCCACGAACAAGGAATACAACATTGCGTTGTGATGAGTCGATGTTTGCATTTTCCAGCAAGAAGACCCGGTCTACACCATACTCCTGGAGCACGGAGAACTTGACGAATAGCCCCACTGGGCCGGCCAGCTCCTGGCTTATGACGAGGTTCTTCTTACCCCGGGTCTGGAAAATAGTTAGCGCAGATCAAAATATCAAGGAGCTGTACTCACGCCTTCTAGTAAAGTCAGGAGATCCCTCCGGGCCTTATCCCTAAAGTAGTCCGCATCAGACCCCGATAAAGGAGCCATTTCATCCAGGCAGCAGAGGCAATGTTGTGGCCAAAAATAAACAGAGACGTTGAAGTGCCACTGCGCCCGCATTGGGTTAGCACTGCCACTGCTGATGTAACTGCGTAAGTGTCGTATTCGTATTGTTGTCACTGCGCTATCCACAATAAACTTAGTGAGTAACTTTCGTATGGCCCTCGTATGTGTATTACAATCAGGCGGCGATCTCGAACATCTAGCTCCCCTGAAGGCGTCTCACATTAATTCTTTCTCTGGTCTCATGTCATTTTATTTCTCCTTTCTTTCCTGTACTTCCCTTAACACTCGACCAACTTAATTTCATTCAGCAAATCTTTACAACCCTACATAAGCCCCCATCACATCATGGGTCTTTTCAAGAAATCCGACGGCGACGATGACTCTAACCGCAGAGCACTCTTCGGCTCGCGAAAGAAGGACAAGAGCCCCTCGACCCCCTCCAACCCTTACGCCCAACCAATTCCAGTAGACCCTTACACAAAAGCCAAGATTGGCGCTGGTGTTGCCCCCTTACCTGCCGACCACCCAGCCGCCAACGGTGGCCCCGCGTCGCAGAGCCCCCACTTCATCCCCGCCGACAACAAGTACTCCGCCAACAAATACGGAAATCAAGGCGGCTACGGTAGTGACCGATTCGGCGGATCCGGCGCAGGCGCCGGCTCTCCAGCCAACGGCTTGGGCTCGGGCTCGCGGTATGGAAACGGTGGCTACGGAGGTCTGGGCAGCAGCGATCCCAATGATCCCGCGGCTGCAGACTCTGCTCGCAACGAGCTGTTCGGCAGTGCCAACAAGAAGTCACCGGACAACTCGGCCGGTTCGCCGCCGCCGTACTCCGAGGGTCAAGGTGGTCAAGAACAGAACAACTACGGTGGCGGCAGCAACGAATACAGCATGGCGACCTTCCAGGATCGACAGCTGACCGCTGAAGAAGAGGAAGAAGAGGAAGTTCAGGCAACGAAGAACGAGATGCGCTTCGTGAAGCAGGGTGATGTTGCGTCCACACGAAATGCACTCCGAGCTGCCGCACAGGCCGAAGAAACCGGTCGCTCCACTCTGGCCCGACTCGGTGCACAGGGCGAGTCTATCCACGGCACGGAGAAGAGTCTGGACATGTCGGCTATCGAAGGCCGTATTGCGGAGGATAAGGCGAAGGAGCTCAAGACCCTCAACAAGAGCATGTTCGCTGTGCACGTGGCGAACCCGTTCACGGCCTCGCGCCGTCGGCGCGAGCGCGATGAGAAGATCCTTAATACACACCGTGATGATCGTGATACCCGCGAGGGCACACGGATCGAGGCACACCAGACTAATCAGCGTATGGACCGGGTGTTCCGTGATATTGATCGTGATGCGGCGAAGCAGGGCAAGGGCAAGAAGGCGAGTGTCACCGAGCGTGCCAAGTATCAATTCGAAGCGGATAGCGAAGACGAGGCATTGGAGGACGAAATCGAGCAGAACTTGGATCTGCTCGGGGGTGCTACTGGTCGGTTGAACGGTCTTGCTAAGGCTACTGGCAAGGAGCTGGACGAGCAGAACAGACATCTGGAGCGTATCATGGGCAAGGTGAGTATTCTACTATCCCTTCAAAATAGCATGGACATGAAGATGAAACTAACTGGCTGCAGAGCGACTACGTCGACGATCAGATTGCCATGAACCGGGCCAAGCTGGACCGGATTCGTTAGATACTTTGCTTGTTCAAGGCAAATGGGGCTGCGGTATGCCTGGTGCTGTCGAGCTCAGTAATTTTCTAAGTGTGCTCTGTCCGTTCCACATAAATCACAAATTGGCGTTGGGGCTGGTTCTGCATTGTTTGCCGTGGTCATATCAGAACCGGCGACTAGGATATTGGTTGAATATCAATTATCATAATATCATTGCGATTCATTCCGAGTACATCATACCCATTGACTTACAACATAGGGAAGTAGACCAGCCCATGCGCTTTGTGGTGCTCAAACGTCTGTAGGTATGCAATACGATCTCTGGATAGTCCTTCGATATTGGCCAATGGCCCTGACAAATATGCCGGGGAACTCTTTAACATCCAACTACTCGAACCTCACAATATCCAATTCGCACGGAGATCGACACCCCGACCGCGGGGAGTGTGGGGAGAACACCCGGAGAATGAACCTCCGCAGAGCCCTAAGTGTAACATAGTATAAAACCACCACACCTCCACTCTAACCACTTAATACTTACTTCTACAACCCTATTCGTCTCCTGCTCCCAATATTTCAAAATACCACCATGCCTCTTCCTCAGAAAACCGATATTCTCGTGATAGGCAGCGGCAACGCCGGCCTCAGCGCTGCCCTCTCAGCCGCACAAACAAACCCAACCCTAAGAATAACCGTTATCGACAAATGCCCCGTCTCTTGGGCCGGAGGCAACAGCTACTTCACAGCTGGCGCCTTCCGCACCACACACAACGGTCTCCACGACCTGCTCCCACTAGTCAACAACACCGACGCAACACAAGCATCCCGCATCGACATGCCAGTTTACACAGAACAGGACTTCACAGCCGACCTCCAGCGCATGACAGGAAACCGCACCGATCCAGCGCTATCAGCAGCTCTGATTCGCGATTCCCGCGCAGCCGTCGGCTGGCTAGCCGCCAACGGAGTCCGTTTCCAACTCTCCTTCAATCGCCAAGCCTACGAAGTCAACGGCAGAATCAAGTTCTGGGGTGGTCTTGCGCTGAAGACCCAGGATGGCGGCAAAGGTCTTGTCGAAGATGAGCTGCGCGCAGTTAGGAACGCTGGCGTGGATGTGTTCTTCGATACAGCTGCCACGGCGCTAGTGACTGATCCGACCAGCGGTGCTGTTATCGGCGTTCAAGTTGTCAGCAGCGACAATGCTGGCAAACGCATTGAAACCACTATTGCTGCTGGCGCGGTTGTTCTCGCTGCAGGCGGTTTCGAGGCGAACCCGCAGTTGCGTGCGCAGTGGCTCGGTCCTGGATGGGATAGTGCGCGCGTACGCGGGACACCGTATAACACTGGTGAAATGCTGCGGATTGCGCAGCGGGATGTGTCGGCCAAGACGGCGGGGAACTGGAGTGGATGTCATAGCGTGGCGTGGGATGCGGATGCGCCTGCGGATTCGGGGAATCGGGAGGTTTCGAATGAGTTCACGAAGAGTGGGTATCCGCTGGGGATTATGGTTAATCGGGATGGGGAGCGGTTTGTTGATGAAGGATTTGATATGCGGAATTATACGTATGCGATGATTGGGCGACGGGTGCTTCAGCAGCCTGCGCAGATTGCGTTCCAGGTTTGGGATGCGCGGACTGTGGCGTGGTTGCGTGAGGAGGAGTATCGGGGCGAGGTTGTTCAGCGGATTGAGGGAGGGTCGTTGGAGGAACTTGGGGAGAAGTGTGCGGAGGTTGGACTTGTCGATCCTGGGCGGTTTGTGGAGACTATTAGGGAGTATAATGCTTCTGTTGAGGATGGGGATGGGCAGAAGAGGTGGGATCCTGCCGTTAAGGATGGGCTTGCTACTAAGGGGCTGGCTGTTGCCAAGTCGAATTGGGCTTTGCCTATTGACAAGCCGCCCTTCCTGGCTGTCAAGGTCACGGCGGGCATCACGTTTACTTTTGGTGGATTGGCTGTGAATCCTGAAACTGCGGCAGTCATTTCGGAGACGACGAGTGATGAGGTTCCTGGATTGTATTGCGTGGGCGAGATGCTTGGGGGCATCTTTTATGATAACTACCCTGGTGGAAGTGGATTGACTTCTGGGACTGTCTTTGGGCGCCGTGCTGGTCGAGCAGCAGCGGAGCGAGTTCGGAATAGCGGTAGACTAGAACGGCTGTGATGTGATGTATGAAGAGACTAGGTGACTATAGAGGAAGTCAAATACATGCGACTATAAAGTATAGAAAAGTATTCAGTATGTCTTTTATTGATTAGACAATATATCTAGTAGCGACTGTGGGAAACTCGACCTAGGCCAAGCCTAGCCAGTATCAAAACAATAGGAACAATGCCTTCCTATGGGTATCATCACCAACACCAACCCAAATTTGCACGTTCTTGGTGGAAAAGGCGACTGGGGAAAAAGAGAACAATGTGTGTGCTTTCAGCGATGCAGAATGCAGGCCACGGAAGATTAAGAAGCGAGAAAAAAAGAAGTCAGGGTATTGCCTTCAGAGAAAATAAGAAACATCGAATCATCACAAGCCCCATGGTATCGAGAAAAAGCAGAAAGGTGACGCCCAGGTCTAGCGAAAGAATAAGAAATGAAACGAAAGCAACGCATCCAGCCGGAAACCTCTATGGTCGTAACGTGGGTGAAACAAAGTATGGAAATATGAAAGAAACAAGAAAAAAAAAAGGCACTCTCTTGCCTGTGGCCCTCGAACAGAACCCATTATACCCATAAATCACAGACCGTTTTGGAATGAGTATGGTATGTATGAGTGTTTCTCTCTCCGATTAGGAAATGTTTCTCGGGAGGATATAGAAAAAGGTGATGAAAAGGTGAACCATGCTGTTGTACAAGGAGAGCGCGAGCTGTTTATATAAAACATGCCAACGCAGTTGGTTCATGAATTGGCTCGTGGCATAGGGAGGACGAGGTTGCGACGGGTGGAAGATCTGGCGCTTTGTGTGCGAAGGGCGTAGGAGAGAGAGGACTCGACGGGATTTCCGCGAGTATAAGAATGTAGTCGTATCAAAGGGGATTGGCAGATTACTCGTCGTCATCGCCAGAACCGCTGTCCTTCTCGCCCTTGTGGACCTTCTTGTGTCGACGCAGGTTTGAGACAACGGAGAAGTGCCGCCCGCAGCCTTCAACATCACACGCAAATGCTGAAGAATGTTAGAACATGAAGTACAAATGATTTGGCTTCCAATAAAAGAACTTACGCTTTTCACCAGTGTGGCTGTACATATGCGTCTGCAGCGAAGACGGACGCGTGAATCGCTTGTCACAGACCTTGCACTTGTGCTTCTTCTGGGTGTTTGAGGGCATCTTGGAGCTGAATTGGCTCATCATCGATTGCGGACCAGGGGGAGCACTGCCGGCCAAAAGGCTGGTTGGCCTGGGGAGAGTGCGCGACTCGTATGACTCAGATGTTGTGGAGCTGTAGTCTGTCACAGAGGAATCGACGGAGCCCACCGAGGCGCTGTAGTAGGGGTAGTTGCCGCCGGAAGAGATGGATGAGGCGGAAGATTGGGTGGAAGGGAAACCGTAGGAATCAGCCGAGCCTCGCGCGCCACGTGGACCGGGGCCGTAGATGTTGCGAGGGGTCAGATCCTGGCTGAGAGCGACCATTCCGCGGCTGGCGTCGAGCGCATCACCGAAAGTGGGGGCGGAAGCCGAAGCGCTAACCCGAGCAGCATCTCTGTAGATTTGTGTAAGCTTTTTTTTGCGATTCCGAAGTAAACAATGCAGACTCGGAATTTACACTTACGAGTGCGAGATCCGACGGGTATCTTGTGGAGGGGGGTGAATGGGGGCGTAGGCATAGCTAGAAGGTGCGAAGTTGCTCATTGGGGGAGCGGTGGTGTAGGAGGGAGCCTGGTCGAAAGTTGTGCGCGGCACCTCGTGTTGCATTCCCATTACCTCTGGGCCATAGCTGGCGGTCGCGTAGGAGGTTCCAGCCACCATTGACGGAGCGGACACGGGAATGTTGGGATAGGGCATAGACATGCCGGTGCGGTTCACTTCCTCATGCTTGACCTGAGCAAGGGCCATGCTGGCGCCATTGCCCATGGAAGTCGCATAGACCGGAGGTGTCGAGTGCGACGAAGTATGCGCCCACGGGTCTGTGAATTGTGGTGGAGTGTGGTGATAGACATTGTCGAAGCTCATGCCGCCATAGGGGCGGTTCTGGTTTTCCATAACCATCGTCATGGGGGATATAGAGTCGCGAATGGATCGCGTGTAGAAACTGTGTAGAGAGTGAAGATCGAGTCCAAAGGGTTTTTGGAAGAGATCGTCTGTGTTGATCCGGAGTATTATGAGAAATAGACCCGATGATCAATTATATAAGGAGAAAAAAGAGAAAAGCAGTCTGGGGAAGGGGATCGGCGAAGCTTATGAAGGAATATAAGGTGAGGCATGATCCCATATACTCCAAAGTGCCACTGACGACGTCCCGTCGGGGATTGCAGATCGCTAGAAATTATAATACCGGTATTTATTTTTTGTTTTTTATTTTATTTTGGAGGGTTTTTTCGATTTCACATTTTAAGAATTTTCACATTTATTTTTGATTTTTGATTTTTTGATTTTGATTTATGTTTTTTTTTTCCTTTTCTCTTCATTGGTCAAAAAGTGGTCCTCAACGGGAACCAGTTCCTCGGATATGAATTTACTCTTTTCATTTACCATAAGCATACTAGTAAATACATTTTACCCTTCTGCAATCAGGGTCTAAAATATATTAATTGCTTAACCATCAACTAGGCTGAGGAATGGAAGATCTAAAGAATCTGTATATAAGTATTTAAATAAGAATGTGGAAATTGTTCGACTCCGGCATCGGAACGGCAAGTATAATGAACCATATAAGGTAAGTAAAAAGAAATCACAGAAATGATCCCTAACAATATAATAAGGGGAAGAAAAAAAGGAGAAAAATCATGAGACCCAAAAAGCTGTCGGTGACCTCAGAATCAAAGGGGGTGTGTAGAGACTAGGGGAATGTTCAATTGTAGACTAGTTGTGATGAACGCTGAGTGGTCCAACTGTGCCGTGTCTAAGGGGAAAAGGAAATAAATTAAATAGAAAAATAAATAAAAAAAGGAAAAATAAACTGCCAAGAAATAAACTCACCAAGGTTCGCCCTGAAGGCGCTGTTTCAATGTAGCGGGGCAGATCCCAGTGTCAATGGGTATACCCGTTGCCGTGGGGGTTAATATGAGTGATTATAGTGATAGTTCTTTATACTAAACAGTTGAGTAGATCTACTAAAACATTCCATTCAAAAGAAGTAAACCGTCTGGGACATACTGGAGTCTCTCATTATTGGCAAGCTGCAGGATCATAGGGAAATATAATTGCTAAAATAAATAAATAAATGGCTTAAGCCATGGAGGGGCCTTTGACACGGCACAGAGAGGGTTTAGCGCGTCAACCCGACCTTACATAGAGAGAAGGGGAGCATCAAATCACTAGCCGCCAACATTATTGACTGCATTCTAATTGCATTCGATCAAAGAATTCACCAAAAATGCGATGACGTTTGACATCCAAAGTCGAGGGGGTCTCCCGTTTCAGAAATTACACCGAATATACATAGCAATGGAAGTAGAGTTACTCCATCGACATGTGGAGGATGTACCTCCGATCGAGCATACTCCACACGGGATAAGGAAAATGCCACAGAGCGAAAGCGAAAATCACACTCTATATTGTATATTCCGCGGAGGTTTTCCGACTTCCTCGGTCGCATAACCACAAACGCACACAAAATACGAGTGTGTGATGAGGTCCCAGCGGAAGCACAAAAAAAAAGCCTCCTGCACGAAGAAGGAATAAGTTTGAATTCCAACGCTGCCATTAGCCGGGCCATGCGAGCTGTATCACATAGAAATCACCCTTAAGTCCACGCCTAAGGCACCCGGGCGACCAAAAACGGGATCATAACATCCTCGTATTGAGCCTGTGATAAGACAGAGCCACGGGCTGCAAGCCATGTTTTTCCTCCCCTGGGATTGGGGACAGCCGGACATCGACGTCAGAGGGGCGGAACAGTGCTACCACCATGGGGGTGGGTGGGAAAAAGGCCGCTTTGGATAGATTAGCGGGCGCGGCTCCCGCAATAGCGCGGTAGAGTGGACGGCATGAATAAGATATATCACAACACATTGACCTTTTTTTTTACTCTCCTTTGTGAATTTCTTATTATTCCTATGCCTCGTGCTGTGGAACCGGACGTCTGCTCTTCCATCCGATCAAATTTGGCATTCAATAGTGTGTGAATATGCAATAAATAAATTTCCGATATGGTTTTGCTATGGTCCCCGAGTCTCGGGGATTGATGTCACCCCCCCCCCCCCGGGGGGGGGGGGGAGGGTCGTTCTTTGTTGTAACGGGTACTCCGTGTACAGGGTTGATCACAAGGTACGAGGGAGGGGGGCGGATCGTCGAGCAAGAGCCGAGGAAGAGGCTGAAGAAAAGTTACATAACCTTGAGTCCATCCAATCACATACACTATACTATATACAAGTCCCCATCGATGATTGGCTTTTAGCGGGGGCAAGACAAAGATATAGCATGAGACCGAAGTACAATGGTACATAATATATTGTATCTCCCTTGATCCGTAAACTATACAAAGCATTCAAAAATTAGGACTTCCAAGACAACACAAGTTGTAAGGTTCAATCGTGATCTCATCACGGAGATCTACCTAACCGGGTAGCTTGAGACCATGGAAGACCTAAAACCAAAGCCAAAATAAAGGTCAATTCCGATATTGGAAGTTTCTCTTTAGTCTCAGGGCTGCCAAGGTGGTCAGCTTCTCCGCATTTCACTAAACCATGGCGACGCCACGGAGTCCTTTGGTGCGCGGTTTCTTTCCCAGAAAAGCTCAACCTTGGAACTGACAATTAAGAAACTTGTGGGCCATGGACGAACATCGGCGGTTCGGCCTTCATTCGCTCACCTTGCGAAGTTTCCAAGGTTGTTCGGCCGAATGCAGTAAAGCCCTTTTATGGGAGTGGTTATTCAAGCATGGCGGAAGTGTGCCTCGAGGACGACCGTGGGTCTCGGGTTACCGGATTAAGATTGGAGTAACGATTAAGTTTCTATCAAATACCACTTTATCCAAGCATTTTATCCAACTTTACTTTTGGTTTAGCTATCGTGTCAACCTCGGAACGATATTGTTTGGTTTCCTTGTAAGACCCAAAGTTACTTGAGACTATAAATGGATCTATATTGTATAAACCTACTCCATATCGACCTATCAGTTACTAGGTTTATCCCCTGTACATCTCAACTATCAACACCAAGACGAAAGGTCTCAGTAGTCCGGGTCTTCCGAGTCTCGCCAGAGTCCCGTGTCTACACGGTCGGGGTAGACATTCCCCAAAAAGCAAAACACAAAGCACTTGGGCAGTCAGTCGGGTACCCAAGTCCACACTGCACAGTGAAAGGGGTAAAAGACCCAGGTACAGAGTACAGTGTCAGGAAACCTTGAGCTTCAAGGTGCCCCATTTTTTTTTTAAAAAAAAGAGCCCATATGGATCCCTTGAAATTAAGAGGCGCGAACTCCAGCCGAACCGAACCCCAAAATCCCAATAAAAGAAAAACAAGCAATGCAAAAAATGGACTCTAGTCTGAGGGTAACCCCCCCTTTTTTCGCCATGCCGTGTTGGTGGACTTGGCATCTCACCGGAAGACTTCCGTCGCTTTCAACGAACGCCAACAGTGTTGGCAAATGTGGCGTTTTCATGCTGATTTTTGAGTGCATGGTGAAGTGGGAGGGGATGTGAGATCGAAAGTGTGGACGCCAAGATGTTTGTGTGCTGGGTGGATATGTGGTTGTTTGGTTCCTCCCTATTCGTATAGCACATTGGCATGGCGTTCAGTAGCCTAAAATTATGTGCTTTTTGAGGAAGGTATAGCTTGCCCACAATATTGTCAATAGTCGGAGCGTGCCGGATGGACAGATCCTGAGACTGGAGTCAAATTGTAATAATAAAAAAAGTGTATCTCGCGAGTAGACTATAGGTTATACAGGTCCACCAGAGGAGAAGGCCCCTGCTAGACACGGGAGGGGTGGAGCATAGTTTCAAGGTGTTGTGAGGGACCTCTTTGAAGCGTCTTCTGGGCCACACAGCCCTGACCGCTTTTCTTGCTCCCAAGCAGGAAGCATACTCCGTGACACGGCTCATATTAATGACGCGTCCTCTGGGACCCTGAGATGTATTTTTTATCAGTTTGTTATTTCACTACGGATTACTCCGTAAGGAATAATCTGGTTTCCGAGAAACCCGCTGGAAAATTCAGAAAAAAAAAGAAAAAGGGCGGTCAGAGATTTATGTGACAGTTCATCACGGAGAAATAGATCAAGCCCCCCAGACTTTCTTTATAATCCAATGATTATCACCTGGCTGAAATGAAAATCCCTCCCCAAACGCTGTAATCAGATCTTTATCTTGCACGTTGACGATCCGCCTCAATGCCGAGTGTCAATCAGGTACCCTTGACCAACAAAGGCCTGTCATCTGCATGGGGCTGCGATCTTGGCAGTTCCCACACGGCAGATCGTCATTGCCCCTAAATCAAGGTTGACATTGTGTGCAAATCACCGTTTTCTTTTTTGTCTCATGCTAGATACGATATTCCCGTCAAAAACTCGAACTAATTAAATATATTGTATTTGGTGGACCTCCCCTGCCATGCTGCGTCACTGCAGAAATCACACCTGGGTTCTATCTATACATAGAACAGCTGAAACGTTTAACCGTTCTTTTACGTTCACAGCTTGCATCCACACAGTGGACCTGTGGGTTCTCAAATTTACAATTACAAATGACCATGGAAGGCCCAGGAGTCCGGGTAAATTGGATAAACTCAAGTACCTAGCATCCACCGCCCATTCCAAAAAAGAAAAAGAGATAAGTGTATTGAACCATGCCGATTGCCCCGATACCGGACCCCCTTTAGGTTTATTTCTATGGGTTTGGACTAGTACAGATTAGCTCAGCCTAATTCAGACTAGCCTAGCTTAATTCCATTGGGTCCACATTCTTACATGTTTGTTGCAGAGCCTTTCGATCAATCATAGATGATTATTTGCAAGCCAGACCCACTGGCAGACGGCAGATAGTCGACAGCCGATCTTGGCAGTCATTGATCGACCAATTGTATCTGTAGACCCACCAGAAGCTGACGCGTGC